CTCGTGCCATTTTGTGTGTGTGTGTGTGTGTGTGTTTATATATATATATATATATATATATATGCACATATGTAGCCACGTTAACTATCCACATGAATCAACATGCATTACCATGATTGGACAGTAGGATCTATAGTTGGTTTGTTGTTATTAGATTAAAAAAAATAAAAACAATTCGACAGCTGTGCAGGTTAAATATTTATTACCTCAGCCAAAAAAGTCAGTTAGGCTTATGTTATTTATTTATTTCCCCCCTAGCTGAATCATGAAAAAAAAAACTGATTAGCATAGGAGGTTGGCGGAACATAGGAAGAAGCCATTTGATTTTGCTGTGGATTCAAGACAATTTCCACTTGCATTACTATTAACCTTGTATCTGAGTGATATGTTATTGGGTGAACCAAATTGGAAAATTTGGACCATTTAACCTCATGCATCTATTGTTTTCTAGCTGTTTTCAGACTTGTGTCTGGCACAGAATAGAGACATATAGTCCGGCTCCATTTTAAAACATTTAAATGTCATCTGCTTGCTAACGTACTGCTCTTTGAATAATTAACATGATCGATCCAAGTGTGCAAAAAATTGCTCGCAGTCATGTTGTCCCTTGGCAAAGCTGGCTCTTTATTGCATTGACTGGGTTGACTGCTGAATGTCAAATTCTCTCCTGTGTTGTATATTAGATGTGGCTTCATGGCTCAGTGGTACACTGGTCGTTCCCCAGCCTGAAGGTTGTAAGTTCAATTCTCAACCCTGTCACAATGTCCAAGTGTCTTTGAGCAAGATACGAAACCCTAATGTGCTTCCAGTAGACCTGGCAGCTCCTTGCATAGCAGCAGCTTCCCATCGGTGTGTGAATGGGTGAATTTGTGGCTTTGTAAAGCATTATGGGCACCGTATGGTGTCGATAAAGTGCTACATAAGCGCAGTCTATTTGCCATTTTACCATTTATTAAATGAGTAAGAAGCACCATAGTACTACAGCCCATTCCTTGTCTCCCTATTAATATAAGTGTGTTATTGATTACTGAACACATATTAGGAATATCCCAGGGATTGAGGTCAGATGGATGACAGCTACTTTTCCATATCAGTCGAGCAACATGTCTTAACAGGATTTGTCTGACACGAGTGTTTGGGATTATGCCATGGCAGTGAGGCAGGAAAGTAAGGATGGCCTGTGAACTGTACGCATTGTTCTTGTGTCAGCATCTAAGGCCTAGTAGGTGGTTGCGTCTGAGTTAAAGAGCCACTTTGCTTGACTGTGCTTTTGTATCAATTAATGGCCCACATTTCTTTCATAGATCAAGTGCCCCAATAGCTGGAGAGAGGTAACTGAAAAAGAGTAAAATGAGTGAACTGGACCAGTTACGCCAAGAGGCCGAGCAGCTCAAAAATCAAATCAGAGTGAGTCAACGACTTATTTTTACTCTGCAATGCTATTAAAATAAGCATGGTGTGATTCGATTAATTTTTTTCCCTTCTTGACAGGATGCCAGGAAAGCATGTGCAGATGCCACGCTATCACAGGTAAACAGCCACGTCATAAACTCCACGGAACACGCAGCAATTTTTAATGTTAACCAATTTTTATAATGGAAGCCACTCCACACATGACAAGGAACTAGTCACCGCTTGTGCTTGCTTACAATGGCTTGCAAAAGTATTGGGTCCCCTTGAACTTATTGACCTTTTGTCATATTTCAGGCTTCAAACATAGCTATAAAATTGAATTCTTTGTGAAGAATCAACACCAAAGGGGACACCATTGTGAAGTGGAAGACAATTCATACAATATGTTAAATCTTTCTTTAGAATTAAAAAAAACTGAAATGCGGGGCATGCAATATTATTCGGCCCCTTTACTGCCAGCGGAGCCAACTCACTCCAGAATAAGTAAATAAATCGAGTCCACCTGTTTGGCATCAATCTCAGTGTAAATGCACCCACCATGTGATAGTCTCAGAGGTCTGCTTAAGCACAAATAACATCAAGAAGACCAAGGAGCGCACAAGGCAGGTCCGAGATACTGTTGTGGAGAAGGGATGTGCAAGAGGACACCTATTAGTTGCACACTGCACAAATCTGGCCTTCATGGAAGAGTGGCAAGAAGGCCATTTCTCAAAGTAATCTATAAAATGTCCCATTTGAATTTCACCTTAAGCCGCCTGGAAGACACACCAAACGTAGAAGCAGGTGCTCTCGTCAAATGAGACCAAAATGGAACTTTTTGGGCTAAATGCAAAACGTTATGTTTGCCGTCAACGGTAACACCGCACATCACCCTGAACACACCATCCCCACTGTCAAACATGGTGATGGCAGCATCATGGTCTGGAGCTGCTTTTCCTCAGCAGGGGCAAGGGGAAATGCTTTAAACTGAGTCGAGGGTGTGTGGAGCCAAATACAGGGCTATTTTGGAAGCAAACCTGTTGGAGTCTGCGAAAGACCTGAGACTGAGATGAAGATTTACCCTCCAACAAGAGAATGATCCTAACATGAAGCAAAATCTAACAATAGAATGGTTCAAAATTAAACATATCCAGCTGTTAGAATGGCCAGGTCAAAGTCCAGACCTGAATCCAATCGAGAATCTGTTGAAAGATCTGAAAACTGCTGTTCACAAATGCTCTGCATCTAATCTTGAGTTTGAGGTGTTTTGCAAGGAAGAGTGGGCAAAAATGTTAGTCTCTAGATGTGCAAAACTCGCGATGAGACATTCCCCATAAGACTTGCAGCCGTAATCGCAGCAAAAGGTGATTCTACAAAGTGTTAACTCAAGGCGTGCGGCAAATAATTTTGCATGCCCCACTTTTCAGTTTTTTTTTTCATTTAAAAATATGTGAAATGCATTTCATTCCACTTCACAATTGTCACGCTTTGTTTTGATTAAAGAAAAAAGTTTGTAATGTGAGCGTGTGTGTGTAGCCAACTGTGCGCTGCACTTTTATGAAACCAAAACTGACCATTTCTTCTGCTGAAAAACAAATGAGTTTTTGTCTTGTTTTTCAGATCACGGCCAACATCGATCCCGTTGGGCGAATTCAGATGCGTACCAGACGAACATTGAGGGGTCATCTGGCCAAAATCTATGCCATGCACTGGGGAACAGATTCCAGGTAAGCTTAATGGCACACTCCGCTTTTATGTCCAATCTTGTATGGGATGCCATTCGTGTTGCTGTAACTAACAAAAGTAAACTTTTCGATGAATTTTTTTTTTTAAGGCTTTTGGTCAGTGCTTCTCAGGATGGCAAACTAATTATTTGGGACAGCTATACCACAAACAAGGCAAGTCATTTTTCTGATTCTGGACGGGCTATGCAGCACAATGCTGCGCCAGAGCCACATCTTTGAACCTGTCACATGCAAAGAACTGTGGTCAAATATAATTTTTGAGTAGGCTATTGGAATATGTTACAATAGATAGTGTCTGGCAACTTTTTAGTCTTTGAAGTGTGTCAAATGTTGTCTTGAATCACCAGAGGTCATAAAAGCCATCTGTTCGAGAAAGTTGGGTATTTCAAATATGTGCTGTCGACTCTCATTGTAGGTCCACGCCATTCCACTTCGTTCTTCCTGGGTCATGACGTGCGCGTATGCACCTTCAGGAAATTACGTGGCATGCGGCGGCTTAGACAATATCTGCTCTATTTACAACCTCAAAACCCGCGAGGGCAACGTGCGCGTGAGCCGCGAGCTCGCCGGACACACAGGTATTGGCTTTGGTTGTGTTGCGCAACCTTTTATTTAGCAGAGGCACATTTTTAGCAGTTTTAGCATATGAAACTTAGAGCACACCACCACATAAATGTCACAAAAAGTAATGATTTTTGCCTCAATTTACTCATGAATGGCAACAAATGTTAACTTCTTTCTGTCGTCTATTGGGAGGGCCTTTAATAGTTCTGCATGTCACTATGTTGTAGGCATAGCTAGATGATCACAGAAAAGTATTTAGAGTAAATAAAGGGTCGTTGTTGGACCAACTAAGCGAAATGGGATCATTTTCCATAGCACATCTGATGATCTCTCTCTCTGCACACACAACTGTGGTTGGAGATCACTGTTGTAGGGCATATTTGGGCACAGTGGTCATGCTTAGAACATTTCAAACCTGTATTACCACAACTCATATAACCATGTTATGTTGCAGGTTTAATTGGCCCATAGTAAAGTTAAATTCGTTAAAATAAATAGATGAAAGTCACCATGTTCTGCTTTGGTTAAAACTGGTGCCGGTAATGAAAAAGTACATTTGTATTTACAACTCTTAAGTCGTCTTGCTTTTTTGAAATGGCACTACGGCCAAGACGGCCAAGTTTGTATGTCGGATGAAGCAAATATTTAGATGACTGTCCTGGTGTGTGCCTCCATTTTAGGATACCTCTCCTGCTGTCGTTTCCTTGATGACAACCAGATTGTTACAAGCTCGGGAGACACCACCTGGTAAGGGAAAGCAGAGTGTTTTGATAAGCCATTTTCCAAATGCCCCAGCTTGTAAGAGAACGTGTTTTTGCCATGTGACAGTGCCCTTTGGGATATTGAAACCGGCCAGCAGACGACCACGTTTGCCGGGCACACGGGTGACGTCATGAGCCTCTCTTTGGCCCCGGATTCCCGATTATTTGTCTCCGGTGCCTGCGACGCTTCGGCCAAACTCTGGGATGTGCGAGAGGGCATGTGCAGACAGACCTTCACCGGCCATGAGTCCGACATCAATGCCATCTGTGTAAGCCTGCGGCCGTTTTTAGAGAAGCAACTTCAGTTACCCACAAAATGTGAGGGATATTTGACTTTTGGGTGAAGTTTCATGATGAACCTGAAACACCCTATAACTTGACTTTTTCTCAACTAGTGAATGCCCATACCCAACTGTTGAGTGTTTTGTTACTTTTTGCACAACATGCTTTTCTACGACAAAGAACGAAAGGGTAACATTTACAGGAGGTGTTTAATGGCCCGATATATCGCATCGTTATTTGGAAATTGAACAGCCCTTTTTACGTCATTAGATAAAGATTACACCTACCAAATGATCAAACGTACCAATTGTGAATAGGAAGAATGTAGTTGTGGTTATCTGATTTATTTTTTTTCTTTTTGAGTAGCTGAACCTAAAGTATGTCTGCAACACAAACCCAGTCGAGCTGTTTAATGGGCTTGCCATGGTACTTTGCCATCGCGAGACTTCAAACAAGCTGTTCTCAGGTGGGGAGTGGCCATTGATGAGCCTCAAGTTGTGCCATCGGCAGGTTGCAACAGCGATTGAGTGTCTGGTTGGGTCACCGAAAGGCATAATAGTCGGACGGTTAGGACTTTTGGCGTTCAGCTCAAGTAAGTTGTGCAAATAGTATTGAAATATTTAACAATTGGCCTTGCGCATTCCAAAGTTGAGTCATTGTCAAATTAAGATGCGCTGTAAAGGTGACAACGCATTTTAGGTGCATCCTAAACCTTGACCTGAAAGTCGAAAATCCCAACCTATTTGTGAGTAGTGTACTTTCGGATGTCCTTGTGTTTACGAATGTTTTGGGTTCCAGTTCTTCCCCAATGGCAACGCCTTTGCCACCGGCTCGGATGATGCCACCTGCAGGCTGTTTGACCTGCGCGCCGATCAGGAATTGATGATCTACTCCCATGACAACATCATCTGCGGCATCACCTCAGTGGCGTTCTCCAAGAGCGGCCGTCTCCTCCTGGCCGGATATGACGATTTCAACTGCAACGTGTGGGACACACTAAAGGCTGACCGTGCCGGTGAGTCCAAACATCAATACCAGTCTTAGTAAGCAGACCGACGTCGTCATTCGTGACGCGGGGGAGTATGATTGCCAGTGTCACAGATTCTTCGCTCATGAACACAAGGATTCCGAGTGACGGCGTGCTCTGACTGTCATTCGGGATTCATCGAGCCATCGTTCCAAACATAACTGTCGTTCTAAAACATCCCTGCTGATTGCCAGAGGAGGTGTCTCACAGCATGGTTCTCTGTCGTACTTTTTTCTTTGTATACAAGCCATTTAAAAGTGAATGCTCATTCGTATGTCCCCTTTAAGGTTTTCTTTCTTTATTTTTACCTCTCTAGGTGTGTTGGCTGGCCATGACAACCGCGTGAGCTGCCTGGGCGTGACTGATGATGGCATGGCGGTTGCCACAGGATCCTGGGACAGCTTCCTGAAGATCTGGAATTGAAGCCTGAAGGTTTTTTTTTTCTCCCCATTCGTTAATACTAGTGTATGGTGACAGATCAAATGTCAGCCACTGAATTCTAATCAATCGTTCCGCTGTGAAACAAATGTGCGTCTCTCCAATAGACGCCCGCTTGGTAAATGTTATGACTTGAGTTCAGTGACACTTTTGTTCACATACGTGAGTGTCCAAGAGTTGCTGAGCTAATTTGAACTCTGTCGCAAGCCAAAACAAACAAAATGTGTGTTAAGTCTCGGACGCTTTAGACAATTATGGTCCAACTATTTTTGCCACACAACATAATCATTACTCTGTGATTCTAATTTATTTCAACATGTTTATTGCATCACCCATGTACAGATGAGAATGTACAGTAGTTATACTAAATTATTGTTCCTTGACATGGAATGTATTGTTCCCCATCCATTTTTCTGAACCGCCCTTCCTCACGACAATTTGTTTCTTTATTTTGTTTCCACTTTGAGCAAATTAATAACTGGTTTACAACGGAATGTGCAAAATACAGAAAAGCAATTGTTTGTGTGTGTGTGTGTGTGTGTGTGTGTGTGTGTGTGTGTGTGTGTGTGTGTGTTTTTTTTTGTGTGTGTGCGTGTATTCATTCATTCATTCATTCGTTTTCTGAACCGCCTTATCCTCACAAGGGTCGCGAGGGGTGCTGGAGCCTATCCCAGTTGTCTTCGGGCAGTAGGCGGGGAACACCCTGAACCGGTTGCCAGCCAATCGCAGGGCACACAGAGATGAACAACCTTCCGTGCTCACACTCATACCTAGGGACAATTTAGAGTGTTCAATCGGCCTGCCATGCATGTTTTTGGAATGTGGGAGGAAACCGGCGTACCCGGAGAAACCCCACGCAGGCCAACATGCATGGCAGGCTGATTGAACATTCTAAATTGTCCCTAGGTGTGAGTGTGAGCATGGATGTTTTTTCGTCTCTGTGTGCCGGTGTCCCTCGCCTACTGCCCGAAGACACCTGGGATCGGCTCCAGCACCCCCTGCGACCCTTATGAGGATAAAGCGGATTGGAAAATGGATGGATGGGGAGATGTATATTAAAAATATGGGCAGCACGCTGCAGGGTTCGATTCTGGCTCTGACCTTTCTGTGTGGAGTTTGCATGTTCTGGGTTTTCTCCGGGTACTCCGGTTTCCTCCCACATTCCAAAAACATGCCAGTCTGGTTAACGGAACACTCGGAATTGTCCCTTGGTGTTATTGTGAGCACAAATGGATGTTTGTCTCTATGCGCCCTGCAATTGGCTGGCAACCAGTCCAGGGTGTACCCCCCCCCCCCCCACTGCCCGAAGACAGCTGGGATAGGCTCCAGCACGCCCCCTGCGACCCTTGTGAGGATAAGCGGATTACAGAATGGATGGATGTGCCATAACTAAAGTGCATGTGCGTGTGTGTTGGTCCAATTGCATCAATGGCTATGACTGTGTACAAATCTTACTGCGTAACAAAATACGGAAAATATGTAAGAGTTGGCAGCTCTGGAACAGCCAGCTCTGCAGTTGTATTGGTTGACGCCCATGTCACTTACCAGGTCAGGCATTGTCTTGTAAAGACATACATAGTCAAGGTCACAGATACTAAAGTTGTATGTGAGGATGGTGACCACGTGGACAAAAATAACACAAACACCTCACGTGTGTCTCTGGTTGCTTAATAATGCAAAAAGCAATCTCTATCCAGTCTAATCAATGGGATGAATAGAATACTCAATTCTAAAAATACTACTACTTGCACCTCGAGTAATAGAATTGAAATGCATTTGTACAAATGAACTCACCGCCATTAAATGTCTCAACTTCAATGTACTGTAGATGCCCCCTTTTTATAATGCAAGTGTTTTTCCATGTAAATATTAGCTGTAATTCTGACTTTACAACTACATGAACATAGGTTAGTGATAGACATCAAGTTATATCTCGTAGGAACAGAACATTGTCATAAACAGTCTGTGCAATCTGGATCAAAAAGCGGAGTGTTTTTGTTTTACATCTGCCTCTCGTCTTTGCTCCCTAGATGTCCTTTTAACTCCAAAGCCGACTGGAAGACCATTACCACTTCAGAATGTTCACAGCATCTTCTTCAACACTGTTTCAAACTGACTTGGACACCACAAAAAATGTCGAAGGGAAAAACAATCCTTTCCCACACAAAGAAGAGCACAATTGTCTTATCACCTAATTAAAGAAAGGATCTCCTGTGATATCAAATCAGAAACTTGTGCATTCCTTCTCGGACCATTTCATGTTATCTTGAGAGAGAAAGAAAAAGAAAAAAAGCAACACTATCATCCCATTCAAACGTGTGTCTTGAAAGCAAATGTTGGAGTGTAATTGTACAAATTATTTAACTTTTTTTTTTTTTTTTTTTTAGAATTCTTTTCAGACGGCTTGTTACTCAATGGCTTTTTTGGGGGGTTCGTATTTCTTTAGTGGTTTTAGATATGTTTGAATGACAGCTTGTCCTTTCTAATCCAGTTAAATCACGAATGAGCGACAAGAGAAAAACATGCAGAAGTTTAAAAAAAAAAGCTTGGATCATATTACACAAGCAGCTTTTCCAAAATGTCTAATGTATTTATATACTAGCTGTTTTTTTTTTTTTGTTTTGTTTTTTTTCTTTTTGTTTCCATCACAGCCTTTTGCACATGAAGCTTTGCCTCTCAACTAATACAATGTTAACTAACCAAGCACATGCTCTAAGTTATGAATACTCATTCCGGTGCAAAAAGGAGTTCTTTTGAGTAACTTTGTCCAGTTATAACCCCCACATCTCTCCCTCTTTAATTATTTTACATGCCATTGATTTTGGGTGGGAAGAAATGGTGCAGCAAGGCAAGTGCTGAGATTATCTCGGCAGAGGACGGGCAGTAGTTTGATTTTATGATATGAATTGGGGTGGGTGGGGAGGCTTCGGGTCTTGTGTTTAGTATCCAGTTTTTTGGGTGAAACACCTCACCTTACTAAATAGACACTTCCTTTGGTTGGGACTGCAGTTGCAACTCTGTGAATGAAATGTACAAAAAAAAAATCAATGTCTGAAAAAAATGGTCTGTTTTTAAGTTGAGACATTTAATTTTGTCTGACACAACTTAATTTAGATGTGCATGCTGTAGACTTGCTTTCAGTGGTGCTAAAATAATAAAAATAAATGAAAAAAAACTCCTAGATTTTTTTTTTTTTTTCCATTTTGGTTCCTATTGATTTAAACCTAATCAGTCATTTTTGGGGTGCCGACTCTCCATACTAATAACTGGTAATGCTATGCGCCATAGTGAGCAAGAGACTGCATATCTCGTCTCAAATATGCTTACCAGTTATATTGACGCAAACATTTCAGAATATAACAATCATTCTGATAATTTATCTTTGGCAAGCTTTTTTCTCTCTTTCAAATCTTCACTTAATGGAACAAAACACACATACACACAGTGTCCATATTACACTTTTTTTCTATTTTCTTTTGGTCTTAAATTGAAAAAGCAGAACATCTGAATGGCAACATTTCACTGTATACAGAAGCACTTTTGTTAATGTGTGACATTCTCACTTTTTCCTTTCTCTACAATGATGTACTTCAATAAATGTAATGTATTTTGTGTGTGTGGCCACCAGTGAAAATGCGATTCAACTCCAGATGGATTTTCCTGCTCCCTCCACCTTGTTTCCATGAATATACTAGAGCTCTGCACCTTTATGTAGCTTTCCACTTTTTTTTTTTTTTTTTTGGTATTTACTTTCAGTCTCTTGGTGTTCCACGGTGAGCTGGATGCAAGATAGATACTGTACTAAAATGTACTGTTATTGATTGAAGATGTAATAAAAAAGCTGTTTGAGAGTTATCTTGCAGTGTTGTTTTTGCAGTCCCATGGACCTATTTGGCTAGCTGGTTTTTTTTTCTTCATTCAAAATGCTTTACAGTGGGTGTTTGGCTGGAAGAAAAATCACACGAGGTACATCAATGAAAAAGGGTTGAGAACCACTGACTTATACAATACCTTGTACATCGATCACCAATCACTTGCAAGCGCACATAAAAACAAGACAACCCTCCACAATCTCACTCAGTCTTAATGAAGCGAACATTCATGATTTTACAATGTGGGAAAATCCGGTGAGAACATGCAAATGACCGATTCAAACCCAGAACCTCTACTGTGAATTAGATGCGTTTACATCCACCCACCCATTTCCAAATCAGCTTATCTTCACCAAGGGTCGTGGTCCTGCTGTAGGCTATCTCAGCCAGTCTTCAGGCAGTAGTTGGGGTACACCCTGAACTGGCTGACAGCCAATCACAGGGCACACACACAGACGAACAACCATCCGCACTCACACTCACACCTAGGGACAATTTAAAGACTTCCTTTAGCTTGTCATGCACGTTTCTGGAATGTGGGAGAAACCCCACGCAGGCACGCTGCCATTACATTTGAGTTAAAATATTTCATGAGAATACATTTTAATCAATTAAATTTCAGGAGGAAACAAAGTAGGGGAGACTGGAAGGCCGGAGCTGAAATTCGAACCCAAAACTTTAGAACTATTTGGCTGGCGCGATTGGCTTCCAAACCACCAGTGACACCATGCTGTGCACTTTTACTTTACACTGATGGAGTACTCTTGGTTTTTATTATTCAACGCTCATCTTGTTACGTAAGCAACATAGATGAAACTATGTGATGTATGTACAATGTGATATGAAAATTGTCACAAAGGAACAATCTCCTCGGCCACAAAATCCGACACGATTTGATTGTTATCGTTTACACAGAATGCAGGTGGACGGCCATCTTGCTATCGTTTCGGAACAAAGTCTAGCTGTGGGGACTGTACCATGTCAGGATTCAAAATGGGGTGGTTCTACAATAAAAAAAAAACACCGCAACTAACAAAAGAAACTAAAATCATAAAACCTGTATGCGGCAGCAACTCTTTTGAAATTGAGTAAGGTTTCGAATTAAAAGGGCTGCTCTTAGTGGTGTTGTGCGACGCGAAACAACAACGAAACAATGATTAATTCACCACCGCCAAATAAATCCATCCGTTTTTGATTACGCGTTTCCTGCTTCTCTTAGGTAATCCTGTTTCGACGAACGTATATGGCGGTGTGAGTGTTGTACCCCGTGGAACAACAACAAAACACTTGTGTCGTATTTCAGGGTGAGACGATATTGTATAGAAACATAATTGCTGCCGAGCAGTGTAAAGACGAGGACGGTTTTTTGTTTTGTTTTGTCGAGTTTTCATGGACGTTAATGCAGTTAAGAGGTACTTTTAGTGTGTTGTTGACATTCAACACTGTTGGAACGAACAAAGAACCGACACGCAAGTGTAACTCGATTCTTGTTCGCTCTCACCTAAGATAATTTATGTTTAAACCTAAAAAACACCCACAATTACATACAACAATTCGTTTTAATCATTCATTTAAAAACTTTGCTGGACTCATCCAGTGCCTCTAGTTACATTAGACGTCGTAACCCCGGACAAATGGCCGAAGTGTACGTCCGAGTGGCCGAGGAGGAGAACGAGGAGCCAATGGAGATCCCGTCCGAGGACGACGGCACCGTTCTGCTGTCGACGGTGTCGGCCCAGTTCCCTGGAGCGTGCGGCCTCCGGTTCAGGAGTCCCGTGTCCCAGTGCATGCGTGGCGTGCGGATCGTCGAGGGCGTCCTGCACGCCCCGGAGACTGGTTGGGGGAACATGGTGTACGTGGTCAACTACCCGAAAGGTAAACGAAATCAAATCACATGTTTGTTTATTTCCCTCCGCCCCTCGAAACGACTGGCAGAGTGGCACGTAATTGATAGTATAAACTTGATACTTACTCTCCAGGCGCACAGTGTCGGCGTCATTGGTCTGCCGGGGGGTGGTCGGTCACTGTATTATTATTCCACAAATGTGATTTTGTGTGTGTGTGTGTGTGTGTGTGTGTGTGTGTGTGTGTGTGTGTGTGTGTGTGTGTTGGGTGAGTGAGAGAGAAAGCGAGAAATGGTAACGTTTTTCAGTTCGGGATGTTCACTTTGCGACATGGCGCGGCCTTTAAAGCACGTTTTATTTGCATTTTCAATCGCAGCATTTCATCACCAACCCGCCTAATTCCATTTTTGTCAGTCAGTTTCGTGCGGTGATGCATGCAAATACAAATCCCTAAAATACGAATTCAATTTTTTTCCATCGCTGCACTTTTAACTAAACACTGGTACCTCAAATCGTCTTTCCCCGTGGAAATTAATGAATGGAAATGCCATGCTGGGTTCCAGACCTACAAAAAATACATCGAATCTATTGTATTGTCATCGCGGTATATCATCATATCGCTCAGCTCCATTTATAACATGTTTGTAATAATATGAATATCAGTGTTTTGTATTGTGCTTTAGAGAATGTAACAGTTTGTGCGCCATTATTTTTCAATGGACATTGTGCTCCTTGTTCTGGTGTGCGCACCGTGGACACCAGGGGGCTGTCAAGAAATAAATACCAGAAGAAAACCGTTAGAGCACCTCAGTAAGAGGCTGTAATAATTTTTACAGAGAAATGAAGAATGTAAACCTGTGAGCATTGTGTTGCTGCACCGACAGCAATGCTAGTTTCTTTCTCCTTTCTATGATGTTTTGTGTGTTCGCATGAAGCTTGCAGACTTGCGTAAGACAAACAAATCATGACAAGAAAATATTTCGGAGATTTCGTGCGACAGCAAAACCAGTGTCTCTTATACGCAGATAACAAAAGGAAAATGGAAGAAATCGATGCCTCATCAGCTGTGAAAATGAAGCGGGGAGACATGAAGACATCTGACCTGATCGTGTTGGGTCTTCCTTGGAAAACTACAGAGCAAGACCTGAAGGACTACTTCAGCACTTTTGGCGAAGTCATCATGGTACAGGTAAGGCCACATGACCTTGGTTAAAATATCCTTGTTGCATATTCGCCTGGGTTGCCGATCAGCCACCAGAGTGTGCCGTTTGTTCTCTGGTCAGGTAAAACGAGATGGCAGGTCAGGAAACTCCAAAGGGTTTGGCTTTGTGCGGTTCACAGAGTACGAATCGCAAGAAAAAGTCATCGCCCAGCGCCACATGATTGACGGCAGATGGTGCGACTGCAAATTCCCCAACTCCAAGGTGAATATGGTAATGTCCTCGCAAGCACAACACTCCATGGCAACACATTTAATGGTGTTGAGCACCTGTTTTTCTAAGATGGTACTAATGTTGTCTTCACAGCAAGGCCCAGACGAGCCGCTGAGGAGCCGCAAAGTGTTCGTGGGACGTTGCACGGAAGACATGACCACTGACGAGCTGAGGCAGTTCTTCATGCAGTACGGAGAAGTCACAGATGTCTTCATCCCCAAGCCGTTCCGTGCATTTGCCTTTGTCACGTTTGCAGATGATCAGGTATTGTTTGGACAAGTGTTTCGTGACTCTCTTAAGATGAAAACTTTTTATTAGGTGATGAGATTGTTCTTTTTACCTTCCTAAAAATGTTTTTTTTCCTTCATAAAATTAGATGTTAAAGGAATTAAAAATATACTATATATATTTAGAGGTGTCAATTTATCGCGTTAATTGCGAAGAATTAATTACAGTCCTATTTAGCGAGTTATGTTTTTTTAAACGCGTTAATCTAAATTTTAATCTCTAACTTCACTGTTTCTGTAAGTGGGTTGCCTTTTTCTAACGTCTCACGGTGTTGGCCAAAACTATTCACGGCCTCGAAACGCCTCAGCGCACTAAACATAAATTTTAAAAAAAAAGTCAGCGAGAGAGAAGCCCGGCCTGACCTGAACCCGAATTTCGGGTCGAGTCGGGCTCGGGCTTAAGATCTTACCTCTATGATGAACAGTGTTATTTCTGAAGTGCTAACTTATAGCACTGTGCTTTAAGGGTCTGTTTTATTTATTATCTGAAGCAAGTTCCGTGTTCAGTACTTGAATTGCTCAGAAAAGTGTTCTTACTATTTTTGATATGTTAACCTAAGCACTTTTTCTGGACCTGATGTTCTATTTTTATTTTTATTTTGTAATCATTTGGAGATTTACAAAAACAAACTAAACAGTGATATTCACCTTGGTGGTCGAAACTAAAAGTTGCAGGTAGGACTTGGGACTAGTCTCGACTATTGCAGCAAGTGAATGGCTACATTTGCATCTGTTCAAGTCTGTTTACAAACAATGAAATACTTCATAATGCCACTTTTTTGTCTTTTGATCTGCCTGAACAAATGTAATGAATTTAAAATGAAAATAGGGGTTTGCTTTTCTCAGCACTTTTTAGATGAGATTAAAATATAGATTAATTAGATCAATTAATTACAGATCATAATTAATCTCACACATTTTTTAATCGCTTGACAGCACTATATTTATTTCGTCAAAATATGACTCGCGCTGTGACTCAATGCAGGCGGGGAAACACTTTTACCATTCTTCTAGATCATTGCCACTTCAGCAAAATCTAAACATCTTTGCGAGCTGCTCCAAGTTGACAGCGGTGTTGTTTCTCTGCCCCGACCCTCCTAGGTTGCTCAATCTCTATGCGGTGAAGACTTGATCATCAAAGGCGTTAGTGTCCACATCTCAAACGCAGAACCCAAACACGGCAACAGGCAGTTTGACCGCACCGGGCGTTTCGGAAACGGCTTCGGCGCCCAGGCTTTCGGGGGCAGCCGTAGCGGCATGGGGAGCGGCGCCAACAGTAACATGGCCAATTTCGGTTCCTTCAACCTGAACCCGGCAATGATGGCGGCGGCGCAGGCGGCCCTGCAGAGCAGTTGGGGGATGATGGGCATGCTGGCCAGCCAACAGCAGTCATCCTCGTCGGCCAGTGGCACCAGCGGCACCAGCTCCAGTCGAGACCAGAGTCAGTCGTTCAGCGCCGGCAACAGCAACTACGGCGCCGGCTCGGCCAGCCTGGGCTGGGGTGCGGGCGCAAACTCCACCAGTGGCGGTAGTGGGTTTAGCTCAGGGTTTGGGTCCAGCATGGAGTCAAAGTCGTCTGGGTGGGGTATGTAAAAAAAGAAAAGTGTGTACGTGTGGTAAGTATTGTGAGAAAGAGTCTTTTAACGCATTTATTTTGGGTGTCTGCGTATCGGAACAACACTTTGTCTGGAAGATGTTTTGTACGTTGGGAGAAAAGGAAGATAATTTTATTCAGAGCAGGGGTGTCCAAACTGCTGCCCGTTGGTTTTTATGAATTTATTTTATTTTTTGTGGCCTATGGTGTACACTAAAATTAACAATTGACACAAATCGTGTTTGGTTTTTTTTTTTTTTTTTTTTTAAAATTATACTCGTT